TAAAATCGCCCATCAATATGAGGGACTCTGTATTTGGCACTTCAGACAGAGCACACTGCACTTCCTCAAGAAAGGTCTCATGTTCTCTCACCAAATTGGGCGCATAGACCTGTACCAAGGTCATCGATTTAGCCTCTTGTAGCTTCAGTCGGAGGATTGCCACCCTTCCGCTGACAGGCTCCCAATCGATTATTGTATCGGCAAGGTCGGCTTCTACCAGAACGAAAATTCCGGCCTGAGCGAGCGGCGTGATATCGACACCTGTTTAGAACAGCTTCCACCCGCAGAGGTCAGGATTCCAAAGCCTTGGTGTTTCGTTGACATGAGTCCAACAATATCGAGTTGACACTTTATGGCCTCATCAACTAAGTCTTGTTCTTTCTCTCTGGGTGAGGATATGTTCGAGTTTCCGACTTTAAGTTCCCACTGGTGGTGTCGTTCTCGTGGAGCCTTTTGTGACGTGTTATAGTGGCATCGCGCGGTCTGTTTCCTCTGTTCAAGACGGGTAGCGACTCCATTGCTGACTTGTTTCTTCGTCAGTCGTTTTAGTGCTGCCATGCTCCCGGCTGCTATAGAGCGAGGAGCAGGTTCTGATCCCAATTTTTCGCGGCCTGCCTCAGTCCCCCAATAGCCTTAGTAACCCTTGGTAACCCCGCCGACGACCGACCCGGTATAATTTTCGTTGGAGTCAACAGTATGAGTGGCAGCTGGCGAAGTTTAACGGAGACTTCGCCACAGTCTCCAACCTTCCTTCTTTCTGAACCGGGCTTGGGACCGGGAACGGCGGAGTTTTAATGAAAATGATTATCAAAAGTTGTATAAATTACGAAAACATGAAGATCACCACCGCTCTCAATCCCCAATGAAAGCTTAGAGAATTCCTTACAATGATCCAACTGTGCTCGATGGAGATGGTTAGAAATCATGCTAAATAGACGGAAGATCTTAGCCATAGTTGATGCATTAAGTCACGAAAAGGAGGCGAAATATCATCTCGATGATCAACCTCACGTTGCTCTGGTGGCAGTGATAAAGGAAATTGGAACATTACTCAGATTCTTTTATCACGTTAAACCAAATTAAATTTCATTTATCGCCATTTGACCAGACAGTAATATTTGCCATCACCTCTTGCTTTGATGAACGATGGATTTGCTGTTGCAGTGGTCATTCGGTGCCATTGCTTTAAATACTTTAACACTGGAGTAAGCCTGTTAAACAGAGGAGAATTTGATGGTCAAATGTTTGAATGATACTGTCTTTATGTTGACTACTACTGAATGTAATTTTTTTCGAGACTTACATTACACAGTGCTGGACAAGCTATTCACTGTATTGCAAACAAATAAAATATGGTAAAAAGGAACATAAAATATCTAACTAAGCAACACATATGAGGATTGATGCGTCCGGTTAGTTAAAACGCCAAAATAACATACTACCGTGATTTCTCATCGATAACGCGAGTGCTCTCAATGAATCAAAGTCCGGTCAACTTATAAAACGAACCGTTATACAATGAAAAAGAAAATATTTTTCGCCGATACTCGAGGATGAACGAATACTCAAATCGTTTCTTTTTATAAATCTTAGAAGCCATGATGAGCAAGCCTCAAAATTTTCTATTTTGTCCTCATCTGCTACAAAGTACTGATTGTTTACACTTTATGTCGTTTCGATCTCTTAAGGAGAATCCATTCGAGGAGTGTTTTTTTCGAGCTCTGGCCAGAAGCACCTCCTATAACTCACTGCACGTTTCTTCCGGTGTAAACATTTTAGGACTACTTCCTTTTCCTCCATTCCCGTAGGGTGGACTCTCCAACGATAAATTTCGAGGCTGCATCACGATTCCCTTTCTCTTTCGCTAAATTAACGGCTTCCAGCTTAAACATCGTTGGTATGATTTTCTCCGCTCAGTATTTTTTTCTCTCCATGAGTTTTTTTCTCAATAGCATCTTTCAGTTTTAAAAACAACACTTGCAGAATACACGTGTTCAAAGACCAGAAGCAATATGGTCACTCTTGTTGATTCTTCTGTTATACTGCGCAGCCAATCATATTATTCAATTATTCATTTGTCGGAAAACGGAATTTTTTAGACAAAAAAAGACAACACGCCGTCTATGCATTTTGTGAGGATGAAATATTACAAGGTGCCCGTTGTCTATACATTTTACGAGCATTCAGAAATACAGGATGCCCGGATTACATAAAGTGCGCGTTATCGATGGAAATTTTATTCAATAA